ACTCAGCCTCCCCAAGGCCAGGTCCTGCGCCAGGCCCTCCCAGCCGGCGCGCAGCACGCCCAGGGCATCGTACAGCTCCGAGACCAGCCCGGCCTCCAGCGCCCGCAGCTCCCGCTCCCGCAGGGCAAACAACAGCTGCACATACAGGGCCGCGGCGCGCGAGGGCACCGTGCCCGCCTCCTCCGGAGTGCAGTACAGGGTGGGCAGCGGCCAGGCTGCGGCCGGCAGGGAGCAGCCCCGGGCCCAGGAGAAGTGGGCAGTGCCGCGCGGGCTCAGGGCCTCCGGGAAGACTCTGCTCAGGACGTCCAGGTACAACACGGGCCCCTGGGTGGGGACAGAGCGAGATGGAGACAGACACCGTCACTGTATTCCCCCGCCCCCGGGTACCAGCCTGTAACACCTCCCTCCCTCCGCACTCCCGGGGGAACAGCCCAGCTAGACACCTCCCTCCCCTGTAGCTTTCTCCCACTCAGGCCTGGTCTACACTAGGGGTATGTCTACACTACAGGATTAATCCGAATTTAGATAATTCGAATTTGGGAAACAGGTTGTATAAATTCGATTGTGCGCGGCCACACTAAGCACCTTAATTCGGTTTTAAACCACATTAATTCGGTGGTGTGCGGCCACACTACCCCATTAACTTAAACACAGTAATTCGGTGGTGTGCGGCCACACTAACCCTAATTCGAATTAACAAAATCGATTTAGGCTCTACTCCGTTCGTCGAGGTGGAGTACAGAAATCGATTTAAAGGGCCCTTTAATTCGAATTAACTGGCTCTGTAGTGTGGACGGGTGAAGGGTTAATTCGGATTAAGGCAGCTAAATCCGAATTAAAGTCCTAGTGTAGACCAGGCCTTAGGCAGCACTGAAGGACCCGCCACCGAAATGCCGCTGAAGACCTGGACCGCCACCAGGCCAGGGCTCGCGGGGCCCCTGCAGGGCCCAGGGCAAATTGCCCCACTTGCCCCCCCTCTGGGCGGCCCTGAACACAAAGAACCCAACTCATTCAGGTTTGCAAAGCAGCCAGTGGTCATTTCAGGCCAGCAGGCTGAGGTGTTCCTAGCAGCAGCCTCCGTGCCTGGCAGCAGCAGCTAATCACCCCATGTGAGCGCTTAGAGCCGCCCCAGCACTGGGCCTGCTGCAATCCGCCAGTCTCCGTTGATTCCAGGGAGGGAGGCGTAAGGAGATAAGCTCCATGCAAAGCCCCACTGTACCTGGCAGCCCGGCCCCGGGAGCCCGCAGTCGGCTAGGCAGAGCGAACGGGCTGGGCTTCATCGCACACAGAGGGGCGCTAAGGGGAGGAAATGAATTCGTCCACTGGTGTGGGCCCTTGTGAGGGACGGACCCCCTGCCGCTTCCCTGCAGTGCGGGATGTGAGGGGCCCCAAACTGCAGGCAGGAAAGGTCCCTGACCCCGTGTGTGCAATGCCCCGGGCTGCACTGGCCACGTCCACTCAGACACACAGACGTTCCCGTTCGATAGCAGTGACTAACCCGGCTTCCACCCTGGCACCGGAGCAGGTGGCAACAAGGAAAAGAAAAGAAAGCGAGCAGCCTGCGGGCTCCAGCCTAGAGAACGCAGGGATGGGCCCCAGGGACGGCAGCGCCGCGGGACGCTCACCAGCACAGGGCATCGGGACAGGGACAAGAACGGGATGGGGAACAGCTCAGTGCGCCTCTGGGAAGGCTGCGTCCATGTGTATATCTCTCTCCTGTCTAGGGCTCACCCTGGTCTCCCCGGTTGCTGCCCGCACAGCAGGAAACAATCCAGCGGCGGCAAGGCCCCGCAGCTCCCACCAGGCACCGAGGACCAGACGGAATTCCTGCAAGCCAAGCCAGGGCTGAAATCACTCGGGCTGCTCCCCCCTGCCGCCCGGGTTACTGTGCGGTCAGGGCCTGTCCCTGCAGAGTTAATCTCAAACTGCCCTGAGCCGCCCAGGGAGCAGGCGGGGGCCCTGGACCAGCGAGTGCTTTGGAGCAGGCCAGGCGTACTCTGACCATGGCGAAGCATCGCTCAGCACCAGGTACTGCAGAGGCCGGCTGCCCCTAATGCAGCCGGGGGGGGGGGGGGGGGTTGCAGAAGGGGGATTTGAACGGAGCCTGCAGGAGGGAACGGGCCCATTAACTCACTGGCTGATGGCTGGGCACGCAGCAGGCCCTGACGGGGTGCTGTACGGAGCCAGCTGCCCCCCAGAATCCAGCCAGGGGGCTTTCACCAGCCGCCTGCACCATGCGCTTTGCAGAGCAGGAGCCACTGGCGCGAGGCCAGGCGTGCCGGCTCCCAGCAGAGCTCCAGGCCCCTCTCCCTGCCCCAGCCCACCAACGTTTTTTCTCCACTTGCAACCAGAACGTTGGTTGAAACTTTTCACCCAGCATGGCCGGGGCGGGGGGGCAAGGCTGGACAAGGGCCTTTTGCCAGCGTATTTTCTATGGCTGATGAGCAATTTCAGTCCCACGCTGGGGGCTGCTTTTTGTGTCTTCCTAAGGCAAGACCTCCTGCCAGGGGCTTTGCTTTCCCGACCCCAGGCCCAGCTGTCTGCCCAGCAGGCGTCCTACGCATCACAGCTCAGTTGCCTTCAGAATAAAACCGTCACAAGCTGTTGGGAAGAGCCGGCTCCTGTGCCCGCTGTGCTGGGATCTCCAAGGCAGCCAGACGGTCCCAGGGTCCCCTCGACAGATGCCGAATTGGTGAACTATTCATGGGGCGGCTGCCTCGTAACAGATACAAGGGGAACTCGTTAATCAAGCCTTCGAGCTAGAAATCTCTTAATGGGGATTAAAGCCCCAATCACAGCGCACGGCCCGGTGGTTATGTTCAGAGATAATCCGTCTTTATTTTGCTTTTTGAAACATTAAAAGCAGCCCCCCCCCCCCCCCCAAGCCCATTGTTTCATAAACCGGAGGGCACGTGCTGCAGAGCCTCCCAAGCGCCAGCCCCAGCCCCTGCCTTGCAGGGCCGCACAAGCGCAGGAGCAGATCCGACGCGCCGTGACCCAGGCTGCTGGCACAATGTAGGACACCATAGCTGGGAGCTTACAGCCAGGGGGCAGGTTAGTAAGCACCAGGTGCGACATCCGTACCTGCCCTGCAGCTCCCAGCAGCCCCAGCTCAGCTCCACGGAGCAGAGCGATTTGGTTCCCAGCCCTGCAAACCAAGGGCCTGTCAGCGTTGTGTGGGCCCCAGGATCCAGGGGTGGTTCCCCCATGTCTTTGGCTTCCCTTCTGCAGCCACCACCTTCCACCCCAGAGGTGGCTGCATTCCAAGGGTGCTGCAGAGGCGGAGCCTGGGGCAAAAGGCACAAGCAGAACGCCTGGTAATAAATGTGTCAGGAAGGATCACAGTCACGAAGCCGCGGGAGAGGAGAAATTCCAGCCGGGGGGGCAGCTTCCTCTGCAGCCAGCCAGCCCTCGTGCTGCCGGGGGGGGGGGGGGGGAGCAGGAGCAAGCCCCGCTGACGGAGGAAGTAGGGTGCAATGGTGGGAGCATTAGCCGGGGTTCGATTCCTGGCTCTGCCCCAGAGGCTCCGGGCCTCTCTGAGCCGCAGCCCCCAAGCTGTGCCATGGGGAGACCAGCCCTGCACTGCCCCGCTGCCAGCAGTGGAGACTATGGGGAAGGGGCAGCTGCTGCCCTTTAGCGATCAGCCCTGATCTCACCAGCCGCCTCAACCTCTTCAACCCCCTGCCCCGGGCAAACCTCCTTCCCCACCTGGGGGCACAGGGCAGCCAGCCCTGCTTCTCCCCACGCCGGGGGCTGGGTCTCCAAACAGCCAGCACCTGGCGCCAAGCTGGGCGGTGAACTTGACGCTGGCGCCATCTGGTGGACAAGCCGCTCCCCGACAGGGCCATGCTTGGCGCAGCATCGCCAGCAGGTCGGGCCCCGAACGCAGGGAGCTGGCAGGTCTCAGGGGCGGGATCAGGCAACTTCTCCACTCTGCCCCGTGCCCTTGGGCTGCAGGCGGGGGTCTGCGGCTCCCCACAGCGTGCTCTGTGACGGGGAGGCCACGCAGGATGCAGCGCGCCAACAGGGCCCCCCCGCCTGCGGTAGCACCATGAAACGCTGTGCGTGCCTCCCACCAGCTCTGCGGGCAGCCTCTACCAGACAGGGAGCCGCCCCACGGGACCTCCCCAGCCTCCTGCCCCACACCAGGGACCCTCCCTGCCCCCCTGCGAGCAGCAGCACAAGCAGAGCCCAAGCGAGGGCACGCTGGGCCAACGGCACCGCAGGGCTGGCCGGCCTCATGAGACGACTCTGCTCTGGATGAAGTGCAGCAGGCGCTTCTCCCTCAGGACTCTGGCCATGGGGCCCGGGGAGCCCACAGCATCCCGCAGCTCCCTGAAGGCCCCGGCCGCCACCAGGTGCAGCCGCACCGGCCCAATGCTGCCCTTTAAGCGGAAGGTTTTGTAGACCGGAAAATCCTCCTGGAGACACTGATCCAGCTGCAGGAAGAGAGAGGGGTGCAGCTGAGCTCAGGCCCCGGGAGCCAAGGTTCGCGTCAGACCCTCCACCTCACACGTGCCCCAAAGCTCCTTCTAACCCCACAGGTCGCCAGCCTGGCCTGGCTGGGCCCGGCAACCCCAGGCTCCTCTGCCCACAGTGGCCGGTCCCAGCTGCGGCCGGGGGAAGGTGCCAGATGCCCTGCAGTGCCGGGACACTGTTAGCAGGAGGGGCTCTCCCCCATCCATGTCTTCTCCTCTCATTTGCATCTGGAGGGTCTCGTTACCCCTGGCAACATCCAGGCCCCTTTGGAATCCAGCTCTGCTCCCAGCCTCGGTCAGACCTTGTGGCGAGGAGTTCCACTGGCCAAGCGTCTGGCTCTTCTGCTGTACCAAGTGCCCCCTTGCGCCGTGAGGGTGATGGTGCCCCTCTCTGCCCCCAACATTGCTGTGTGAACCCTTGTGCGCTCCCAGCCCGGGAGCACACAAGGAGCCGAGGCCCTGTCCCCAGCAGCGCAGCTGGAACTGCTCCACGTCCAGGTCCGGCTCTGCAGCCAGCCGACCTGGGCACCTGATCAGAGTGCTGCCACCTAGTGGCCAACCCCAGCCATGGCAGCACAGACCTCCCCGGGGGAAAACCCCAGGCCAGGCGGGGGCACCTGTGCGGCGCTTTTGGGGCCAGAGCCCCGTGCTGGGAGCAGCCCCGAGCTGGCAGGATCGCTCCCTCCTGCAGGCTGGAGGAGGAAGGGCTCCACCCACCAAGCCTTCCAGGGGCAGGGGGACACCCACCTGCCCATGGCACCAACTGCCCCTGCCCAGCCCTGCCCCGTGCCGCTGCTTCCCCAAGCCGCTCACCTTATAGCGCTGCACCTCCGACAGATCACGCACGCCCCGCAGCTCCACGAACACCTGGTAATGGGGGGCGCAGACCCCGGAGGAGGCACCTGGGGGGCAGCACGGACCCACGTTAACCCACCCAGCTGGAAGGGCAGGAGAGACACCCCACGCTGGGAGCTGAGGGTGGAAAAACCCTGTGGCAGGGCAGGGACCCAGACCACCCTGGGGCAGCACCTGGCTCGACAGGCACAGAGCCGCTGTCATCTTGTCATCAAGCCGCTCCCTCCTCAGCGGAGCACTGGGATCTGGACCGCACGTGGGGATCCAATGGGCTTCACCCAGCCTAGCCGGGCCACTCCACAACACCAAGGCTAGTGTCAGGCACAGCCCCGGGCAGCTCGGCCCCCTCCTGCCCCGCCGTCTCACCAGCCCCCGTGACGAAGTGGGACCGGTCTTAATGTTTCCTCTGAATACTGTGTAGGTGCCTCAGTTTCCCCTATGCATTTCTTAAGTCTCCTAGCAACAAATGGCCGGAGCCCTTCCCCCCTGCCAGGGGATAGCTAAAGGTGAACAAAGAGATCAGGTGACCTCCTGGCCCGGGAAAGAGACAAAGGCCAGAAAGGAGGGGCTGGAGGGGATTGCAGTTTGGAGCTGGCTGGGGACGGGGAGTGAGGGAGACGGGGTTGTCTGGCTCACTGGGCTCCAGAATGGACCCGGCCGAGGGGTCCCGTTTGCTGGACCGACAAGCTCTGTTTTAGACCCTGTTCCTGTCATCTAATAAACCTCTGTTTTACTGGCTGGCTAAGAATCACGTCTGACTCGAAGTGGGGGTGCAGGGCCCTCTGGCTTCCCCGGGACCCCGCCAGGGCGGACTCGCTGTGGGAAGTGCAGAGGATGCTGAATGCTCCAAGGTCAGACCCAGGAGGTGGAAGCCGTGTGAGCTTCTTGCCCTGAAGACAGTCTGCTCCGAGAGAGAGGAGGCTCCCCAGAGTCCTGACTGGCTTTGTGGGAAGCAGTTCCAGAGCATCGCCCGGGGACTCCGTGACACCCCCGCAACCAGGCCCAGCTGAGCCAGGCTGGGGGCACGGCCAGCCGGGCCTGAGCACAGTCAAGGTCAGGCAAACCCAGGGGTGCTGAAAGGAACAGCAGCCCCGGAGGCAGAGCCAATGGGGCAGAGGGGGGCCAGGCCGTCTCAAGCCAGGAGTCCTAGGATGCGTACAGGGCCCTTGGCCAGGACTGGCCCGGCCATGCCAGCATGGGGCTGGGTACCGGGAGCGACACTTACCCAGAAGGCTGCTCTCTGCACAGATGTAATCGACCAGCCGGGCTCCCGGCCACATGGCCACGGCGCGGCGCAGGCTCCGGTAGAAACGCTCCTCGGTGACGCCTTCCCCACGCACGCTCAGGGTCTGGCTCAGCCTGGGGAGCCAAGGGCAGGGGGTGAGGGTGGGAATCAGGTGACTCCACCTCTGCCAGCAGGGGGCAGTGCCATGGCCTCAGACTCTCTGGCCAGAACAGCCCCACCCCCGCCCTCAAAGCACTGGGGAGGGGAGCCCC